CAGTAATGGGGCAACAGACAATGCAAAATATGTTTCAATATCAAGTTCATTTTTGTTTCCTTTTATAGCCTCAACTAGTTTATCTTTACCATTCTTTTTTTTGTTCTAAGACATCTATGAGTCTGTACCCATACAATCTTTTATTGCCACCTTTTTTTTTCTAATAACCTGTGGTCTGTTTGTGTATCTAACATTTTCCTCCTCTGAGTTATCATCTCCATTTATCTAGAACGTTGTCTAGCTGCTTGACCAGACTTTGAATTTTTTGGTCTCGCAATTCTCTTGAAAAACAGGCTCTAATATTTTTCCACCCCATTTGTAGTAGGTTAGGTTAGGTCCAAAGTGAGTGGGTCTATTCGACCCTCCACCGCAACCCACAAGGGTTTATTGTGGCTCACACCTATTCACACTCGCCCAAATAAATCCAGCTTCTTAACGAAGCCGATTAGTTCCTATGGTATATGCTCAGCTGTTTCATTATTAATGAGGTAGTCGGATAGTCAAGTTGAATATTCCCACGTTGATACCCGCGACAACCTTCCCATATGAGGGCTTTTGCACGTCAGCTACACTTGACGATGCCTTAGATTCAGCCGTGCAGGGCTTTTTTGCCTCTGGTTTTGGTGAATCATCACTTGAGCGCAAACGTTTGCTAACCTGCTCATGGGGAGTTTGTTCCCCCACCTGAGACAGATTATGCCTACTCCGCTCAAGAATTTGATGCAAGGCGGTTTTATAAGTCGTCTCACTTGAGGAGATGACTCAGTCGTTACATCCATCTCCTCTGTAAACTCGTTCCTGAACTAAATTTACAGGGAGGTCAGTTGGAGTCGTAAACTCGACATCCATCTCCTCTGTAGACTCGCTCCTGAACTAAGTTTACAGGGAGGTCAGTTGGAGTCGTAAGCTCGACATCCATCTCCTCTATAGACAGCGTCAGGAAAAAAATTAAGTTTACTCTGTCCATAAAAGTCCCACGAGAAGCTAGGCCGTGACAAGGCGATGCTACGATGATAGGGCGTCTGGTATCTCGAAGGTTCCGTAGAGACAGCTGATAGGCTCAGTGTTATTCTTCCTTTCGGCACGTATACACACTCATTAGGATTAATCCATCGTTGGGATGCCATTCAGTTAGGAAATAACAAAACAACAAGTGATTCTATCATTCCCGTATCGTTTGCATGTGGGTAGCACATTCGACTTATTAAGCTGAAAATAGTGGATCGCAATGTTTCAATTATAAAAAGTTTTTTCAATAGTTCTTATGGCGTAGGTAAAAGCAGATTATAAGTTCGTGTACGTGGGCATTGGTACTAATGGAGCAGCCAGCGATTCCAGTGTGTTTCGGAGCTCGCAAATGGGTAAAAGGTTACAACAAAACCAATTGAATTTACCCTATGACCGCCCATCACCAAACGACGTAAATGGAAAAAACATGCCTTTTTGTGTGGTAGCAGATGAAACATTTGTCTTAGCAAGGAATATTATAAGACCATATGCAAGAAGATTATTGAATGTTAAAAAAAAGGTTATAACTATCGCCATACAAGAGCACGTCGTATGGTAGAATGCAAAATTGAGATACTTAGCTATAAATGGCAAATTTTACACCGGCCTCTTGACTTCCACGTACAATTTTGTGATATACTGGTCAAAGCCTGCTGTCTATTACACAATTACGTACTATTCAAAGGGGGGCATAACATTTACAGATATTGCTTATGAACGTCCATTGGAAAGTATTTCTACAAACCCTGCTGAAAGAATGACATTAGCGGCAAATATACGAAACTATTTTTCACAGTACTTTATTTCACCGCAAGGGGCTGTACCTTGGCAATACAACAAAATATGAACAATGAGTATCTATGCATAAAATGATGAAAAATAAATATTTCACTACTTACCAGCTTCTGTTTTTTCTTTTGTTGATAGGTTTTCCCAAACGTTTTGGTTTTCAAATTAGAATCAAAATATTCTTTTAAAGATTTATCGTTTAGATCAACGATATTTTTTCTAGTTCTTCAATAAATATGTCGTCTGTATCATCTTCATTCAAACACGTTTTGCGTAGTACTTGACGTTGACGCAATTTCGAGACAACGCTTGGCAGGCGACTGAAGCGCGAAGGAGCGGAGATGAGAAGACATTGTGTTACAGTTCAAGTAAAAGATATAGTGCCACCTACCTTCCAGCAGTTCCCCTTCAATAACGCACACAACGCGGTACTCATCGCTACATTCTGTTGGTCACCGTAACATGACAAATTTAATTTTATGACTCTTCAGCCAATCATAAAACTCAATTAGTAAAAATTATCGAATACGAACCGCCAATTCTTCAGGCCACGTGGACTAATTCGTTGCGGCATAATTACTTTGTATTGGTTTTTTTTGCCTTTGACTTCGCCGACACCTTTAAGATTACTATATCGGTTACTTCAACTATACCTATGGGTTCGTAAGCACGGTGACAGTAAACAAAAAGTTAGTGACAAAAATCAGTGCGTGATAACTTTTATATAATCAAAAAAAGAAAAAAGAAACTCTATGTTTTTTACCACTTTTATTTGTAACTAACGTTACTGCAGTTTCGTCCTATAAGGACATTTTCAAACTTATACATTACAGTTTAATGTATTTTATTTGTAACTAACGTTACTGCAGTTTCGTCCTATAAGGACATTTTCAAACTTATACATTAAACTTATAGGACGAAACTGCAGCAACGCTAGTTACAAATAAAAGTGGTAAAAAACATAGAAAGTTTCTTTTTTTTTTTTCATTATGATTTCCTACCACTTAGTATCGGCTACATCCATGAATTTATTTCATACTAGTACTATGTTGCTGTATCGCTGCTGTTCCAATGTTTTGACAGAATTAGAATCAACGAACTTAGGCGTGCGCAGCGTTATAGAACAGTGCTTTCAAAAAATTATTCTTACAGAAAAACTGATAGCCTAAAAACCTTCTCTATGAAGTTTCATCACGATCGGTTGAGCGATGTAGAAGTTTATCACTTACCAACCAACCAACAAACATCCATTTTAATATATTAGATAATCGTTATCGGCAGACAATCAGACAACGGCATAGTAGGCAGTTAACGATCAGGAGATAGATGAAAGCCAAATATTCTACATGAAATTTGAACAATTGAATTGAAAGTTAACTGAATATAATCATCTAAATCTGATTCTTCCTGATTTTTCCTATTTTTGGCCTGGAACGATAACATCATTCTTGCATATCTATGGGAAATAAGCTAGGAATTGTAATATACTGAATAATTTATCTCTGATTTCGTTAGGCCCTTGAAGTTAAACAGATACACGAAGTTTAAAATTTATTTTATTAAACAGAACCGACACTTTCTCTCCTTGTTGTTTGTTCACTGAGGCCTTGTACCGTCCGTTCAATTCGAATATGTCTACTTGCATGCCATCTTAATTGAATGTTTATACCGATTGTCCCAATTTCTCGTGAGTCAACCGTAACACAATATGTGAAAACTTGAAATTTTATGTAGATGTAATTTTTACCCCATCTTTATGCGACTTGTCCGGCATCATGAATTCAACCAAAATGGAATTAAAGATTTATCGAAACATATAATAAAAGTTTAACTGATTGCTGTCTTTACATAGAAGACACTTGAAAAAAGCTATTATTTTTAGTTTTTATTAATGTCGTAGAAACCAAAACAATGATTTTCAAAATTTTTGTGTGTTCGTGAAAGCTATGTATGTTGAAAAAATATGTTTTTCCGTTAACCAGATATCGCACCCCTACGAACAATCCTTAGAAGTCGAAACTTGTGCGAGCTAAGGACTAACGAGATCTTACCTTTCAACATGTGATTTTTAACACGGGTTGGGCGAAAGCAAGTGAAAATTGATCATTCAGCCTGCTGCTTGAACCATCGACTGGCACATCGGCCGATTGACTGAGTGAACAAAGCACCCACGTCGAACCGCCCGGCTACCAACCGGGTGGTGAGCTTCACTTAACATTCAGTATTTGATTTATTTCAGTCGGTTCATAAGTTCAGTTATGTCAATTTACAGAATTACGTCAAACATTGTTGAAAAAATACATAAAAATACTGAATTGGTTTGGCTAAAACTTTGATAAAAAATATTTATAGTTTGTAGAACTAGGTATGTTCTTATAAATCAAAATATAAATCAAATTGAAAATGTTCACTTTAATGATGATGAAATAAGTTGGATTTTCAAAATGAAGTATTCAATTTTTTCAATTGTAAAACTGAAGTGCTCTCTTTCTACACTTTTTTTGTTGTCAATAGGAGATGATAATAACTGATGATTATTTTCAGAGAAAATAGCTATCTGGTCTAATGTTTGGCTTTGAAAAGCATATAAAAGTTCAGTGCGTTTGATCTTAGGTTCTGCTGCTTAAAAAAAGCTGCCAAATTAGTAAAGTATCGTTTTGGATAAATTTAACCTATAAATTTAAGTAAATAACATTATTTAGATTTGCCTATATTCCTTTACTTTATTTCATTCAATTCAATACATATGATAAAAGTGTAATTGATCATTGTCTGTACGTGGAAGATATTTGTGAAAGTCTATTATTGGGGGTCGTTATTAACTTGATAGAACCCAAAAAAATTATTTTTAGAATTTTTATCTGTGCTCGCTAATGTCAAATACGATTTAATCGATTTGGGAGCGGTTTTTACTAAAGTTCTGTAGAAAAAGGTATTTATTGTTTGATTTATTTCAATAAAGAATTGAAATGTTAAGTCAATTTCAAGAATCATTCCAAACACTCGTTGAAAAAAATTACTATAATAATACTGTTCAGTATTATATTTGCAGTATAGTAAAAGGATTTTCTTATAAATTAAAGATAGGCTATTACTTACATAAGAACATTTCGTTGTCAACAAATCTTGAAAAATCTTTGAAGTTTATATGAACAAAGTCACAGGCTAGTTATTAATAATAGCTCTTGTTCAATTTGTTTAAGGTGCCAATGACCAAGAAAGACAACAACTCCATCTCAAACGTCCCGACCAGTATTATTACCTGAACAAAACCTGCTGTGCTTTGGAGAACACTGACGAGAGCTATGAATTTTCACGATTGAAACAGTCTATGGAAATGGTCGGTTTTACATCGGAAAAACAGCGACGATTGTTCTCTGTGCTATCGGCCGTTTTACTTCTCGGCAACGTTGAATTTCAACCAAGAAAGTCAGCCTATCACCACGACGAGTCCGTTGCTGTAAAAAATCCCGAAGTGGTTTTGCTGATATCGGAATTACTCAGAGTTAAACAGGTTGGTGAATTAATTTTCCTGTAAACTTATTTTGAAATATATTTCCTTTTTAATTTTTTCAATGTTCATTCCATGATAATTTTTTATCAATGTATAAACCTGAAAATTTTGTTTTTCTTGTATATTCAATGGAACTTTGATCAAACATTATCAAATTACTTGAAGTTTCAATTATTCCCAGGAATAATTTGGTCAGCAAATTTTCAAGATAATTTATATGGTTTTTATTTATTTTTATAAGAAAAACAAGTTTATGCTAACAAACGTTTTTGGACTATGTTAAAAACAATATAAAAGTTAATCATTAAAATCGTCAAAATGGTCAAAGCTTTCGCGGTCGAGGTTTTTAGTGGCACTATTTTTCGGATTTGAAGGCCGTGAATTTTTGGAATTTCTTCCTGACGTTTCGCTGGCGCGAGTGGCTACCTTCTTCGGAGGTTTATACATCCTGAGTTAATATCTCCGGTCTTGATGTTACGTCTGCATAACGAGTGTTTATGTTGACTCCTCAGATAGTTTGGTGTGCTAACACCTGTACCTGGTATGTTTATGTTGATTCAGGTAGTCAGGTGTGATATTACCTGTACCTGGATTAGGTAAAATGTCAATAACATCCCTTGACCTTTTTCTACCTGCCATCATGCCGTTTGCTATTCTTGAACTACTCAGAATGGGATTCCATATTCAATTGAGGCTGACGGCTTCTTGTTTTCTGTTGAAGTTATCTATGTGTTTGTGAATTTCTACTGCCTCCTATACCAATCGGCTATAGAATCCTTGTCGGTGGCAATGAATTCCGTGTTTTCAAACAGAATCCTGCAATTTCGTTCACTGTGTGCATGTTCTGTCACAGCTGACTTGTCTGTTTGGCCTAGTCTGCAATATCTTTCATGCTCCTTCAACCTTGTTCCCACAAGTGAACGGTATGCGATAAACCCCTGCTGCGGATAGTGGGTCTCTTTTGTTTTTAGCTTTGTCAATCGACCTCAACTGATGTTACTGGCGTTTTACGTAATTCAGGTACATGTAATATCACATCGGACTACCTGAGGAGTCAACATAAATACTCGTTACGCAGCCGTAATATCAAGTCATCGGAAATATTAACGTATGATGTATAAACCTCTGAAGAAGCTAGCCACTCGCGCCAGCGAAACATCAGGAAGAAATTCCAAAAATACACGGCCTTCAAACCCGAAAAATAGTGACCCCATTAAAATCGTATCTATACAAATAGAGGAGGTCATATTCATTGTAGTAAAATAAATAGGATACACTACAAAAACACACTTTTGTCTATTTTCCACTATATTTCTTTATTGTTGACCGGTTTCGGCTATTATACCATTTTCAGAACTAACTGATTACATTTAAATCCGAGTAATTTATACCTATATTATTCTAGCATAAATGATTTGATATACCTGATATATCTGATATACCTGATATCCGGTACCTGCGTTTCATATACCTGTAAAATCCATGAACATAACAAAGCTTTCAATATAATGTAGGTTTTGGGATCTGGACTATAGGTTCAGTAGAGGACTATTGTTTAATTCAAGTTGTTCGTTGAGGACAATAGAATTGGGATCTTACTTTGACCTGTTTATTTCCATAGATTCCAACAGATTAGCCCAAGACAAATACATTAATTTTCATAATGCATTTTTATATTACAACGATATGTCTTTTTCAGTACCCCCTAGAACTAAGAAAAGAATTGGATCACAGATGAAGTAATAACAGCTAAAAATAATCTTCTTTTCCTTCATACATTTTCTAAACAACATCCAACTATAACGTGACAAGAGCTGTTCAAGAGTTGAACAAAACTTAACAATCAAATCTTAATATAATGCCAAAAAAGCTTACAATGAGAAATCATTTCAAGAATCAGAAGATAATAATAAAATGGTATGCTATTATAAATAGTGAAACAGGAAGGAAAAAAAAGATAGTTCAGCCTACTGACTTGTCAGTAGATGACATAAATGATCATTTTCTAAGTCACGCGACAAGAGCTGTTCAAGAGTTGAACAAAACTTATAGTAGTGCCGAATCTTTATTGGATAATTGGAAAAGGAATTTCATCAATTCTATTTTTTTCATACCAACTACACCTGATGATATTAGAGTAATCAATATGGGACTCAAAAATAAAAATACTGAAGACATATATGGAATATCTACGTTTGTTTTTTTTAAATGTGTGCAATATAATAAACAGTTGTCTAGAACAAGGCAATTTTTCTTCGGAATTGAAAATTGGAAAGGTATTACCTGCTTATAAAAAAGGTGATTCATCTATAATGAATAATTTTAGACAAATATCCATACTGCCAGTATTTTCTGAAAATTTAGAAAAAAATGTATAATGACTTAACATCCTATCTAGGTACTCACAGTATACTTGTAGCAGAATAATATGGCTTTAGGAAAGGAGTCTCGACTGCCAATACCATAATGTCCCTTACCAAATTTATTGAAGAAAGTTTTGACAAAAACAAATACTGTCTGGGTATCTTCACGGATCTTACATGTGTTTTCGATTCAATCAATCATTCAACTTTATTAAACAAAATGAGCTACTATGACATTCGCGGAACCTGTCAACAAATGTTCACTTCGTACTTGACCAACCGAACACAGCGAGTGGAGTGCAATAATAAAAAAAGTCAATTCCTACAAATTGAAAGGGGAGTACCTCAAGGTACAATCTTGGGACCTCTGCTGTTCCTCATTTATATTGATGACCTACCCATATTATGGCTGCACATAACAGATTATCTGTACTATTTGCAGATGACGCAATCAGTATAGAAAGGGATGAAGATCTCAAAATAGCCCAGGATGATGTCAGACAACTAGCACATACATGGTTGGCCAGCAATGAATTCATACTGAATGAGAGTAAAACTGTAAGCCTAAAATTTGATTGTAGGCCAAATAATTATGCTAATCAGGAAGAAATATATGGAAATGTGAAATTTCTAGGTGTACAAATTGACAGTCACCTCCAGTGGTCACAACATGTGAATTTTATATGTACTAAACTCTCCAATGCTGTTTTTGCTATTAAAAAAGTTCGAGAATTTGTAAACAGCAGTGCTAACTTATTCCATTCACACCTTCAGTATGCTACTTTATCTTGGAGTAATGCAGCTCAAACACATATAGTTAAACTACTAATTTTACAAAAGTCTGCCATAAGATGTATTACAAAGTCAAATTGGGAGGCTAGTTGTAGGCCTTTATTTCCTGCTCTAGGAATATTGACTGTTTATGCTATGAAACTCATGAAGAGATACATGAATATCATACAAGATTCAAAACCAGAATAGTTGAACCAAAAACAAGGCTTCAAAAAACCACCAAAATTGATACGGGACTCTTATAACAACTTACCATCTCAATTTCGAGATTTACCTCCAAAAAAATTCAAATCCAAATTCAAATGTATCTTATCTAGTAACTGTATTTACAACTTCCAAGAATTTACTCAGTTCATCGCTGAAAATCGGCATTTGTTCATGGATAATCACAGTGATTGAATATAATTTCCCATTTTATTGTTAAGGTATATATTCATATATTTATCTATATTTCATTCATTTGACATTCTATAGGTACATTTCACATATATTTGTTTTACATTTTATACATCATACTTCATATATTTTATGCATTTCTGTTTTATATATAATTCATACATTTTACATTTTATATATTCATATTCAGTCATCCCTTAAAATGTATTTTATCTTGTATGTAGATAACATATGTTTTTATTCTTCAATACTCCATATCATAATTATTGTCAACCTCGATTATATCAATCTATCATATATCTTTAATTATTTGGGTTAAGGTTTGGGCGTGTCTATGAAATGTAAAATTTTCTTGAGTCTCTAAAAAATGAAATGAAATGAAGAATAGGGAAACAAAACCGTAAAGTTCGTCCCAAAAAGTTACTGCATAATATAAGCCACTCAAGAGTTCAATTAACTTGTCAAATACTCAATGAATAAAATGAAATTTATCTGGTGGAATTGGTCAATATATTCGTATGTTTGAAGGTGGTTGACAATGTTTCGTGGTGTATTTCATCAGTTCGGACTTCCATTGTCTAATATAATATAAATCGATTTGAAATCCCTGAAAAAAATAAAAAGATTAACCGAAAATAACAATTTTATTAAAACAAAAAACTTAAATTACAAGGAAATAACATACAAGCTACAATCAGAAAATAAAAAATTGAATATTAATAAAAGCTGAAAATTAAAAAATATTACTAACAAAAGTGAAGAATAAAAATAAAAATTGAAAGATTCAAAACCAAGTTACTTCACGACGTTTCGATTCCCAGAATTGTATTTACCGGATACCCTGCGAGTGCGGAGAATCATACATCGGTGAAACTAAGAGGCAATTTCGCATTGCTGAGCACAAGAAACACACACAGCGAGGAGAAACCAGAAAATTCGGAATGGCAGAGCATGTTTGGACTCATCAACATAATATCAAATGGGCTCAAGCTGAAGTCATTCACAAAGAGGAACACTGGTTTAGGAGAAAATTCAAGAAAGCCGCGTATATGTTGTCCAACAATGCATTTAGTCAACATATGGAAACCTCTTATCAAGCGAAAAACGAACAACTCCCGCCAAACGGTGATCTCCCGCTAAAACCAATGAAGCGGGAAGAGGAAGGAGGGGATAGGTGAAAGGTGAAAGCACCCGAATGACCTATAAATAATCAGATTTCGGAGGAATAAGTCCAGTTATCACCCGAAGACGATTGTGGATACTAGCAATCGAAACGTCGTGACGTAACTTGGTTTGGAATCTTTTTATTTTTCATTTTTGTTAATAATATTTTTTAATTTTCACCTTTTATTAATATTTCAATTTTTTATTTTCTGTTGTAGCTTGTATGTTATTTCCTTGTTTTAATAAAATTGTTATTTTCGGTTAATCTTTTTATCTTTTTCAGGGATTTCAAATCAATTTATATTATATTAAACAATGGAAGTCCGAACTGATGAAATAATATACTCATATGATGAAAATCCATTACTTATTCAAGTTACACTTTTTGTGTGATTTTCACAGAAGAGTTTACGAAACTGCAACATATGTTTCGCTATATAATAGCTTCCTGAAACGTTTTCATTTAGTATGTAGAATTGATGATTAGTTAGATGATTAGTTAGTTGAATCCATACTGCCAGTATTTTCTGAAAATTTAGAAAAAAATGTATAATGACTTAACATCCTATCTAGGTACTCACAGTATACTTGTAGCAGAATAA